TCTTCCTCCAATGCTGTATAGTTCTCTTTATACATCCATGATCTACTTATGGAGCGGGTCCTCTTCCACAGAGTCTGCCATGTTGTTTCTGCAGTAGCCCAGAACAGAAAAACCAAACACTGGCTGTATATAGGGCCATTACAGTTTTCGCATCAGCCACTGTAGTTGTCCTACGTGCAAACTGCAGCCTCACCGCTAGGAACCACTACGGGTGCTTTCAGACCTGGAGTTGTCTTGCTTTGGTCCGAATCAGGGACTAATTTTATTGCATAGTTGTATAATTGCCTAGAGTTGGTTCGTGTTCTCACAGCAGCATTTACAAGCGGACCAGATAAAACGCCTTGCGTGAGAAAGCTGCTCTTGATTGGTCAGAATTTCCATGTGGGAAAAATCCAGGAAGTAAAGCAAACGTTGAAGAAGAGTACACTTGCAAGATAAATGTGACACTTTCTAATGTCACAATGGAGGGACAACTATGCAGGTTGATTTTAGCGCTGCTCATCGTGGACTATATTGCTGTCATTGTTCATTTTAGTCAAACCATACAGTTTGAAAACGAGGCGCGGCTCCAACTAGAAAACAATGTTTTGATGCATTGGATGTGCTGAATGTGCATATTAAGGCAGTACAGGAGGAGGTGCACATTAATAATCCTCCAGGACTGTAACATGCTCATGTTTAACCCAAACAATGTGTCATGTGACTGCAGTTGGTTCACATCCAGGTCGGAACACCTTCTCACTACAAATGAAAAGCACCAGAGTTCATTTGTAACCGGACTGAGACCACCTCTTCAAGAAGGTCTCTGTCAAGTAGTTTTGGTGCACACCTGAGTGAGATTGCTGTGTTCACACCTGCCCAAATGAACTGCACTGAGGGAGCAAATGAACTTGAGTTTGTTTGAACCGAACCAAACAGGACAGGTGTGAAAGCACACTAATACACACTGAACCTTTAACGAAAGACAGTCTAATATCCTTACAGTATATTGAGACACAGGAAATCAAGAATTTTTCATCATCCTTTTAGGAACTGAGTTGAAAGTGTGATTTGATTGATGGTGGCCTCACTGATGTTGTTGAACGTTATTCTTGGCTTTATGGCTGTATACAGGTCATAATTAAGGGTTATTGAGGGCCTTGTGGAAATAACATTATAATAATATGGTCACTGTGACAATGACCAGACACATTTCATTAACGCAAGCCAGACACTACCCCGTTTATCTGTCCTCGATTAAAAGTAGTTGACTTTAGATCCCTTCCCAAACTTGACAGCAAGGTCTGGCACATACAATAAAGAGACGGAGGAATTCCTTTCCGATTTTAATCTTGTATGAATCACCTCCACGTCTGTACTTTGTCGTGTTATTTCAGTCTATTAAAAAATGTAAAGAAGTGTGTGTGAGAGAGAGACAGACAGAGAGAGAAAGAGACTTCTGTCCACACACAGCCGCTCTTGCCGTCATGTGAAAAAAATCCATCTCATGCGTCAAGTAACATCGTGTGCTACTGCGCTCCGCAGGCCGAGGTGAAAGCTTGAAAGTATAAACATCAAGTCGGAAAAGATGTGTAACAGGAGTGCAGAGTGCGACCTGTCCACTGCTCTGTTATCTGGCCATCTGCCTGGACGAAGGATCTAAATATTATGACACTTGATATGACTGAGCATACCTGCTGGTTACATTCTAGCGGATCTGCACTGAGGCAAGGTGGCTTATGTCTCAGTGACACTTTTGTCCTCAAACTCCCTGTCTTTGTCTACCCAAAGTTGTTTTTTCATAGCTGTCACCCACAGTAAACTCTTATGTAATTTACCGATAATATAGAGGTTGCAAATCTGCATTATACTGTGGTGGTTGTTGTGTGTGAGAGACATGAGAGGAAGAGGAGTGGATGTTAAACGACCTTTTGTGTTTTTATGTATGTGTGTGAGGTGTGCCACAAGTCGAAACATCACCAGTGAGCTACTGTTGTCTGTGTATGAATGATTGGAGGGCATGTAAACCTGCAAGACGCTGACATACATAGATGGATCGAGACGTAAAGACAGAGAGGGTGAGAAAGACAGAGTAAGAGAAGCAGAGAGAGAGAGAGAGAAAGACCTTCATCATCTGTGTTACAAATGTTGCACATGAGCGTTGGGGGGAGGTTGACCGTGTTGCGATTAACACGCTCCCTCAGCTGGGTGTTCATTTCAATCTGCAGTACGATATCCTCAAGTCTGAACCCTCGGATGAGGGTCACTTGCCAGAGGAGGATTTTTTTCTGCCTCTCTGTTTTTTATGCTTCCTTCTTGGGCAGAAGGCTGGTGTAATAGAAACCAGACACAAGCCAGAATGTGAGGCATTCACAGCGGCGAGACCTCACTTCTTCACAGAGTGGGAAAACGGAATAAATAGAAGGTCTAGTCTGACCACTCCAGACGTTGTTTTTGTCGTTTTTGCCAGTCTGTGAGTTATCAACAAGGCAGAAAAGGCCAGGACATTAGGATGAAAGTGGTATTCCGTGGCTCAGACTGTGCAGGGGATATCTAAAGAGGGCACAGCAGACCTTCAGGATGGGAAATGCATGTGCAACTTTTCCAGGTGGGTTTTTCGGTGATTGACTTTCCTCCTTTCCTGTGTGATGGTTTCTGTTTAATTATCCTGCATTGTAAATGCACATGTTGCTGTGAAAACGTGGACTGTTTGTGAGGTCCTGTGTCTGGAATGACCCTGCTGAGAGATCAGTGCATGCCTTTACCATAGTCTTTGAATATGAATATTCTGCTACAGACAATTTTACAAAAAGCTTCTGTTAAATTTTCAAGCAACATAAAAACAACAACACAATACGATGCATGTTTAATGTAAAATATATTGGGCCTGCATCTGCATTTATGATAAAATACCTGCTCCTTTGACTGAAAATTACGTCTTAACCACACAGTATGTTCTTAACTAAATAATTTATCAAACCTTTATTTAAAAAGTGACTCTATTTTGTGTTATTTAAATATGAGTGAATATGTTTTAATATTATCTGTAACTGCAATACCTCTGTATCTTATATTGTAAGATAAACTGTATTTAAATTTAAATCCTAAAAAATATGTTTTCCCTATTCTAAAATTACAACTTGGAGTATGCTGCCTTGTGTATCTTACCACACACGTAATAAGCAAAAATTCGTGAACCCAAACATAATCTTTGTTGCATTTACATAGCTGCTTTATCTTCAGTCAAACATAATCTTTATTTATTAAACAGGCGAGTTCCACTTAGATTAGTAATCTCTTTTTAGGAGAGACCTTGTAAACTGGCAGGAGCACTGAAAATGAATCACCGACAAGGCAGCAAGTGATCAACATAACAAGCTGTGAAACACTTTGCAAAACACATCAACAGCAGGCGAATATCTCAGGATCACTTCAGTGTTGGGGTATGATGTTGATGCCACAGCATGATACACAACACATTTGTACAAACTTAGAAGTCCTCAGTGCAGCGGCCCTCCTGTCATGCCATCCTGGGGCAGACATGACTCGCCCACCATAGGTGCCATCTGTCTCCATGTGGCTGTACCCCTCCCCAGCGTCAGCAGTGCTGGATCTGGAGGGGAGGCCTCGTGGCAGATTAACAAGCCTCTCCTGTTCACTCAGATGGCAGGGGAGATGGCGCATCCCACGCCAGGGAACACAGTGCCGCAGTCATGAGATCAACATGAACTCTGCGGATCTGCCCCATGAATGAAGGGACAGAAGTGCTACTCCGTCTCCTCATCACAGATTCATTCACCTCACAGAGTCAGAGGATGACACTGTGAGGTTTCATGTCATCTGTTACACTGTGTGTGTCTCTTCGTGTTGAAACCATGACTACAGCATGTTTCTGGAGTGGCTCTCTGAGTGGAGCACACTCTTTACCAGAAGGAGCTTTTCTTATATTCAGAGCTCTGTCGGTTTCATTTTGTGTTTTCAGTCTGTCAAGCTCTTATAGTGTTAAACATTTTCTTTGGTAAACACAATAATCAAAGTGGTTGTTGTGCTGGCGGGTGTGTTTCTGATTAAGTGTTTTTCTCTTTCAGTATAATTTTCCCTTTTCTTTATCTGTCATTTCAACCCTTTCATAAACTTGAATCATGCATTTTAATTTGTTTGAAATGGATACTGGAAAAACTGCATGGTGTGTGTTCAGATAGGGTGACTGAATGACATCACCCTTCTCACTGACATGAAACAACAAAAGCCATTGTCTTGTGTTTGGCTGTGCAATCAAATGAAAATGAATGTCTCCTCTACATCAAGAGGTCTCACTGTGCGGATAACGACAGCTGATGTTTGACACATTTGCAAAGTCCACAACTCCTAATTATATTGTCTGTCCACACCAGATTTTGGCTGCAAGAATATAGTTACATCTTCTCAGTTTGCTGCTGTTATTAATATTCTGTGATGGTGTATTGAATATCTTTGGGTTTAGGGAGTGGTGGTCAAATAAATTACGACATTTCAGGATGTCACTTTGGTCTGTGGGACATTTTATAGATGGAAAAAATAATTGGCAGAGTAATTAATGATGAAAGCAGTCTGGGTTTGCTTTGGTTAGACACAAACAGTGCAGGCATTTGATACAAGGAATAAAACTGTTTAAAGAATATACAGCTACAACATACTACTACTAGTGTGGTGTGCAGGAAGGCCAAACATATAATTGCTGATGCCTCACATCCATTACACTCCCATCTGGGCATCGGTTTAGGGTCCCAAGAACCAGTCAGAACATATGTAAGAGGTCCTTTATTCCCAATGCCATACAGGCAGTGAACACAGAATGACTGTTTTCATAAGATGTGCTCTATGTGATCTATCTGTTTACGACAAGCTGTGATTTTGAGTACAAAATTACAATTCAGTAAATCATTGAATTCATCTGCAACTCATAGCTTTCACAAGTTCAGATTACTTCCTCAATAAATCCCTTCTTGGATCTTAATCACTTCTTTATTCTCTCTTTCCAGATTCTAGTTGAAAAGCTTGTTAGAGCAACATGAGCTGGAGCTTTCTCACTCGTCTCCTGGAAGAGATCCACAACCACTCCACCTTCGTGGGGAAAGTGTGGCTGACTGTGCTCATCATTTTCCGCATTGTGCTCACAGCGGTCGGAGGCGAGTCCATCTACTCGGACGAGCAGACCAAGTTCACCTGCAACACCAAGCAGCCAGGCTGCGACAATGTATGCTACGATGCCTTTGCCCCTCTCTCGCACGTCCGCTTCTGGGTCTTCCAGATCATCATGATCTCCACCCCCTCTATCATGTACATGGGTTACGCCATCCACAAGATAGCCCGAACTACAGAGGAGGATCGCAGGAAGCACCACAGGCTCCGCAAAAAGCCTCCTCCTCACACCAGGTGGAGAGAAAGCCACCATCTGGAGGATGTGTTAGAGGAGGAGGAAGATGACGATGCTGAGCCCATGATCTACGAGGATGCACTGGAGGTGCAGGAGGCCAAGCCCGAACCAATGAGCAGCACTACCAAAGACCCACCGAAACACGATGGCCGCCGAAGAATTATGCAAGAAGGCCTGATGAGAATCTATGTTCTTCAGCTCATGTCGCGAGCTATTTTTGAAATTGCCTTCCTTGCAGGACAGTATCTCCTCTATGGTTTTCAAGTTAGTCCTTCATATGTATGCAACAGGGTCCCCTGTCCACACCGAGTGGACTGTTTCATCTCCAGGCCCACAGAGAAAACAATCTTCCTCCTCATCATGTATGTGGTAAGCTGTCTCTGTCTAGTGCTAAACGTGTGCGAGATGCTGCACTTAGGAATTGGCACTTTTCGGGACACCCTTCGCATGAAGAGGAACCACGGCCGACGAATGTCCTACGGCTGCCCGTTTTCTCGAAACATCCCAGCCTCCCCTCCGGGGTACAACCTTGTGATGAAGACAGACAAACCTAGCAGGATCCCCAACAGCCTCATCACCCACGAGCAGAACATGGCCAATGTTGCTCAGGAGCAGCAGTGCACCAGCCCGGACGAGAACATTCCTTCTGATTTGGCAAGCCTACACCGGCACCTCCGGGTCGCCCAGGAACAGCTCGATATGGCCTTTCAAACGTATCAAACCAAAAACAACCAGCAAACCTCCAGAACCAGTAGTCCTGTGTCTGGGGGGACCATGGCGGAGCAAAATCGAGTCAATACAGTCCAGGAGAAACAAGGAGCACGGCCGAAGTCAGCCCCAGAGAAGGCTGCGACCATTGTAAAAAACGGAAAGACCTCTGTCTGGATCTAGAGATAAATCTAATTTAGTAAATTAACAGTTTAAACTTTTACGACTCCAGGACTGCACTGTGGCACAGCTGGAGGATGTGTGTGTGTGTGTGTGTGTGTGTGTGTGTGAGAGAGTGAGAGGGAGAGAGATGTGACTTTGGACAATAACAGTTGAGAATTTCAATCACTCTAGCTGACGTACAGTACACAATTTTGGGGAATTAAAAAAACACACATGAAGAAATGATCAAATCCAGTATCACAAATCTTGTTTGTTACTGTAGTGTGTCATTTTGTGCTCGCCATAGCTTCTGGACATGGTTAACATGTGCTTACTTACTTAAACATCTCTAATTCCAGCTAAAATGTCAGAGTATAAACAGACTGCTTGGAGCTATTTATCTGATCTACCCTTGACTGCCGCTGAACTGGATTAATCTGAAGAAATCTAACTTTGTGTGTGATTGTACCCTCAATCCAAATTCAGAAACGCAGTGAAAAACACTGTACAAAAGCACAATGACTCACTTCTGAAGAATGATGGTTATTGTTGGAAAGATGCATGTTTAATATTTGGGGAAGTGTTTTTGGATGTAGTATGGATGAGTGTTGCTGGAAGCAGATTAAATGTGAAATATTTTGATAAAGATAATGAAACAGGGCTGTGTCTCTGTAGGCTCTTCTGATAAACATCTGCTCAGTGGGATGATCTTCAGTCACTGCGTGCAAAGCCTTTATCTATTCTATATTTTCCAAAGCCTTGCAGTGTCACGTTTGAAGGTGAAGAGGTAAGTGAATAGAAAATATTTTCTAAACTGATTTTCTGCAATCCGAAGACGATGCATGCTTTTCAACTGGGAACATACAGTATACACATAGGCTACAGTAGAAACCCCGTCCTTAGCTATTCAATTAGCTCTACATTTATCTTACGTTTAGGCATGTTAGGTCTCGAAGATGACCATTTCAGTTTTTCTGTCATTGAAGCAGTATGTTTCTAAAAATTGGTTTCTGAGTAATATTTAATCCTGCCTTCACTGTTGTCATATTTCAAAGTGCCTCAAACTTTTAAAGACTGTTCTCGTATTTTATTCATGAAAAAATAAACTTGTTTGAAACCTCTGATTTCTTGCTTTATGATACACCTCTCTTCTTCAGCGCACTGATGACGGTGGTGTGTTTTTGAGTCAGAAGTTAGAAGCTTGCATTACGTTTTATTTTAACAAGTATGTTTGATGGCAGGAAAGTCTCTTGTTGTAACAAGAAAACATCCAATCAAAGCCTAAACCATGCTGTAGCAAACTACTCATTCACAGTTATGTGAATTGCAATCTCAGAACCCAATGGCTATTGTCTGATGACAGTAAACCCGCGGATAGAGAGCGCCAGGGACAATGATTTTTGTAGGTCAACGCGGACGTTAGCATCGCCTTGGTTCCTTCAACAAAAAGCCAAACAAAAAGGATATTGTCATTGGATTTTGGATTATTACAGAAAAAAGCTTTGTGGCAAACAAGTTTATGAGACCTAAATTAGCATTAGCTATGACCTCTCTGTGCAGCACATTAGTCTCATTCTTTGTATTGGAGCTGTGTTAAATTGCATTGTCAAATAAAATAAATTTTAGATTCTTACACGTAAGTTTCAGCAAGATAATCACCACAAATGAACACCAATTTCATGATTTTTCAAGCATTAATGCAATCGCCAGAGAAAGCTAATGTTAGCCTATAAACTAACCACACCTGGGTCACATGACTTCAACGTTCTGTAGTCTCATTCAGCCATTCGTCGGCAACACCTATTTACTGACATATTCTACGTCTTAGAACAAATCGTGAAAGTGTCTTAATCCCTGTTTGGTCGGGATTAGTTTAACGTGGAGATGTAGGGTAAAGTAATTATTACCAGGGATTTTAGTCCCGTCTGAACGCGCCATGTCTGTAATCGTTAATAATGTCAGTAAAATGTCAGTAAAATCTATGGCGACTTTTACCTTCTGTAAAACGGTCCAGAGAAAATACCTTGGGTGATATTAATCCCGTGTGAATGCGATCCTCTGTAAAAATGTATGTAAATATTTTGTCACGTCCTGTTTTCAACCATTTTTCCGCGTTTACAACTAGTTTTCTGCATTTTTTCAATGATGGAGGCGTTTGAAGAAGCATTCAGTGTTGTCAGCAGTCGTGATAGTGGACACTCTTCTAATGATGGCATAGCCCTATGTGGGAGACCAATCAAAAAGGTCGAGAAGAAAGCACTTTTCAGAGCCACGAGACTTCTGGTTCTGTTAGCTAGGCCTAATATACATACATATTGCTAAACGTAGTGTACACACAATCCTGATCATGGGCAATATTTCACATTGGGCTAATCATTAATTATTATCCTTCCGCTGATGCTTTATGCCCTGCTCCACCAACGCATATCACGCACATGCCGACAGGGAGGTGACGCCAGGGCGCAAACTAAGTTACCACTCCCATCTCTGGTAGAATTACGGAGATTTCTTGTCCCGTGCGAATCGGACACTTGTATTACAGACATCCTGTGGTAGACTGACAATAGTCCATATCCCTATGTAAAACTAATCCCGTCCAAATAGTACTCTAAGCTTGTGTTAATCACAGACCTTAATTCAGGCATCTAAACGAAAACCTATTAAAAAAAAAACACTGACTTTGAGACGAGGGAACTGGACTTGCTAAAATGCTAATTCATTTACGAATTTTAGGATTCATTCCTGTACTGCTCGATATTTTGGGCTGATCTGCTGCAGCAAGCGAGCCAAGACTTACTCCTCTGTGCACTGGTCATTTTGGCAAATCTCTGCAGATATATGAAAGCAAACACATTTTAAAAAAGCTAATATAACGCTAACTTGCTTTGAGATTATAGCCAATGGGTTCCAAGACTGAACTGCTGCCAATGCGCTCCGCCTCTTCACACGGACTGTTCATCTGTTCACGCAAATCAGAACACTTCCAATACCAAACTCTGGTCCTGCTGCTAAAAGACTTCTTTATACAAACTGATTAGATTTTATTTCATGCTTGGGATGAGACATGTCTTCTGTTACTGACCACAGCAAATTTGTCTTAAGTATAAGTAAAAAGAAGCTTATGGGGCAGTCAACGGCAATAAAAACAGTTGTACTGTAATATAGTAGTAGTAATATAGTAAAGCATTGGTGCAGGAGAGGCAAATAATTTCTACAACCTACACAATCACACAGCGTTTCCTTATCTTAAATATAGGAAAGTAACATAAAAAGGGAAAAGCTGCAGTAATAAGAAAATAAAAGCATATATTTAACATACATGTATTATCAAAATAAGGTTTAGGGGATGTGTGTCACAAGACTGACTTATGGAGATAAAAAACATTCTTGCATCTATTAATTATTGGATAAGTGGCACCAGGTGTGGACATTACAAAGAAACCTGACCACAAATCTCTGAAAAATCACTATATTTTCTCTATACTCATTCAAACGATCACTGTATTTCAGTAGTTACAGGCAGCCTAATTCACATACAACAATCTACATGCCAGTATAGGTTTTTGGAACATACTAATGGGCACCCACACCTGGTGCTAATCAACAAACCATTAAGAGAGGGAACAATGGGAGTTTGTCCAAGCTTTGGAGAAAGACATCAGGTCAAAGTGTTTTTAAACGCTACGTCTCCGTATTCCTTTTGGGTTTTTCTGTATTTCTACAGCCTAAATAAGAGGTTTTTGCCAAGCACCCTCATCCTGGAAGAAACCATTTGATTCACTTGATGGCTCTTTATTATTTACTTTACCTCAGGTTTGTTAGAAACAGGCTCGTACATTTAAAACCTTTTACCTGGTAATGAGTTACACATTTCCTTTGGTAACTACAGATATGTGTGTGTGTGTGTGTGTGTGTGTGTGCTTATGTTTTTTGTATTTTCCCATCTGTTAAAGAGTTTTACTGAGCAGTGAATGTTTATAGAGCCTTGATGGAAGGCACGTGACATTGCATATGCTGCCTGCTCAGCATTCTGTCAGTGTAATTAGAAAATTAGCAGTTTTGCTTTTCATATAAGGAATAATGAGTTCAGTGAGGAAGATTTAATACCTCACACTGGTTAGAAGTAACAAATAAGACCACATTTACTTACATAGGCTACTGTGCTTATATAAACTTTCATTACTGCTAATACAGTTTACACATGGTCTTAACTTATCGTGGTTATAGTCATAGTTACCTACAGTAGTTACAAGCTTTGGGGCTGTTGTCAAAGCTTATGGGAGTCTGTTTTTAAGGTTATTGTTTTAATGACTTTACATTTACAGCTTCTCTTGTATGTTGTAAGAAGCAAAAAAAAAAAAAAAGCTAAATGAAAAAATCAATTTAAGATGATGTGTTGTTATGAGAAAACTTCTTATACAGGAAATATTTTCTCACTAAATACCTCCACTGAGTCAGTTGTTTCTTTGGGCTGCACAGTTAATCAGAATATTAGGCCATCCCTCCTGGGATTTGCGGGCTGTTTTGTAGATTGTTGCAGCCTGACGCCAGATTCCACGGCAGCTTTCCCTAAAAAACTGTGATGAATGTTGCAGTGTTATAGGCGTTGCTTTGCAAAGACGTTGCAGTGGCAAGTGCAAAAAATAGTGTGTAGAGTGTATTATTATGAGCATTCAGTGTCTCCCACAGAATTATAATGTCAGGGGTCCATGATATGATATTATCACGATACCTAAGTGATCTTACTATATAATTATGAAAACTCTGTCTGTGTGTGTGTCTGTTCCACGTTTTTCTCCTCACTGACTTGGTCAATCCATGTGAAATTTGGCACAGTGGTAGAGGGTCATGGGAGGATGCCAATGAAGCAATATTACATCAATTGGCCAAAGGGGGCGCTATAGCAACCGACTGAAATTGCAAACTTTGAATGGGCATATGTCATGCCCCGTATGTCGTAGAGACATGAAACTTTGCACAGAGATGCCTCTCCTCATGAGGAACACATTTGCCTCAAGAACCCATAACTTCCGCTTATATAGATTTTCCGCCATTTTGAATTTTTTGAAAAACACTTCAAATGGATCTCTTCCTAGGAAGTTTGAGCGATCTGCATGAAACTGGGTGAACATAATCTAGGGACCAATATCTAAAGTTCCCTCTTGGCAAAAGTTGGAAAACTTACTAAAACTGAGCTTCTATAAGGCAATGACTTTAACTATCTGCCTTTCAACGTGCTACCTCAACTACTAATGTACAGTTTTAGCCCACTAACTATCCCACTATTGGCAATGGTGCTACTGTACTTTCAATAAAGCAATCGTACTATCAAATTCACAAACACTCTGTCTGAATACATTGCTCCTCTTAATGGGTTCAGTTGACTATTCAGTCTGCAATTTCCTATGACCTGTATCCCAAACACACACCATGTGAAACTGTGCGTGGGCAACTGTGCGCTCAATGGGTATGGACTAGTGTTACAATATGATTGAGATTTTAAATATATTACAATATGCTGAGTATTGCAACAAAATATTTTGCAATATATTACCTTTTTTCCAACTGTAAATGATGTCCCCAAAGGAAAATGTCCCCTTTTTTTGCAGCAAAATGTATGTAATGGACTGAAAAAGCAATTGATTATATTTCTCTAGTAGGCTACCTAAAGTTTAATTTTTATTTGGTATATTAATATCTTATATAATTAAAAAAAAAATGATACCCACGCAAAAATATCACGACGATAATACTGCCTTGTTATGTCAATGAAAGCAGTCTGGCTTCGTATTATCGGTGCTATTTATCGGCTATGATTTTGATCATCGAAATAATGCATGATTATAAAAATGTCCCATTATCGGCTGATAATTTATCGGGCGATATCTGTCAAATAATTGCAATATTATCTTTGCATATTGTGCCACCCAAGTTGTTCATTCAAAAGGAAAAGCAATGAGATATGTCATGTATTGTTTGATGTTACCTGTTCAGGCCTATATTTTTTCAGTGGGGGCCAACATACGGATTGTGATAAGTAAATTAATAAATTATCGATAAATTGAGATTGTGTTTAATCATATTCAATTAAAACCTCATGAGTTAGTGTAAC